GAAGGCGGCGGCCGGCGGACAGCCCCGGCCTGCGACGCGGTGCCCGGCCGAGCAGTGAGTACGCGTCGCGGGGCAGGAGGTCGGCGGGCGCGGGTCCTCTCGAAGGCTGGGGCGGGCGACCCCGGAGGACAGCTGGGCGGGGGGACCGCAGAGGCCCCTTGGGCATCCTCAGGTCTAAGTTGGGTTGTTGGCGACTAGGAGGAACAGAAAGACACTTTTACTAGAGCTCGTGTACAAATGCTTTCTGGAATGCCTCCTCAGTTCTGGGGAACCAGTGTCCCCTTTTGTGACATCTGCTTATCCGTAAAGTTACAGAAAGTCTCAGAAACTAGGGAAACAAACGCGAAAAGCGTTTTATTTTATAGCTAACTCCCAGTAGATCTTTCCTCCACCCTGGTACGGGAGGAAAGTAAGGTCGCCCCTGCTACAGCCACAGCCGCCTGAAAACTGAGCCACAGACATGTTTGTTCTTGGAAGGCAAGTCGGCGCTTGATGATTGTCCCAGCTGTCGGACAGACTTTGGAGCTTGACTCGATTCCTTCACCTCCTTTATTTTTAAATAGGAACATCAGTGCTGGTTAAATAAATTACATACTGAATTGTAAAGAAAAATGGCACAAATTTGGAGCCTTTATAGTATACTGCTGAAGGTCTGGGGGTGGAGGTAGGAGCGCAATATAAACTTTTCTACCCAGTATAAACTTTTGTACGCTTAGAAGTTGCAGGCACAAATTTAGAATTGTAAAAGTCGCTAAATAGCTCAGATAACCAGTTTGTCAGATAATTGGACTGAAATTTGAATTGTAAGGTGTGTTCAAAGGAGGCTTTTTTTTTTTCCTGCATTTCCTAATAAGGGGTCAGTGGAGGCCTGATTTGCAGATACTATGTAATAATAACCTTTATTTGCATATGGCCTTAAAGTGGACTTTCAGATTCTCCTTTATTGAGCACCCAAAGCCCTTGGGATGGTATTAGTCACACTTAATGGGCTAACAGCTACTGCGAAAGAAAGGCTTCTTTTCGAGTAGGAGGTCTCTTTCCCCTGGAGCGAGGCAGGTAACTTTAGTGACTGCAGCTGGCCAGGTGTGGACCTTGACGACCTGAAGAGCTTGTGCCCATCTCTTTTGGGGACGGGGTTCGCTAAGTTCCATCCTGTCTTTGCAGGATCTTCATATTTAAATTACCCAGATATCCTAACTTTGGTTAAAAAAAACAAAACAAAACAAAAAAACACCAAAAAACAGATGTCCTGGAGTGGATTCTGACTCATGGTGACCCCCATGTCTGTCAGAGTAGAGCTGAACTCCATAGGGTTCTCAAGGCTGTGACCTTTCAGAAGCAGATCACCAGACGTTTTTTCTGAAGCACCCTCTGAGTGGGTTCAAACCACTAACTTTTCTGTTAGTCGTTGAGCACTTAACCATTTGCGCCCTCCCAGGGATTTCTGACTTTTAAATCGTAGCTCCTAATTTTTCTTTTAGTTGAAAACACTGTGCAGGCCAGGTGTGAGCTGATTCGGCCTGTGGCTGCCGGTTTGCTCTGTGGGTTAGACGCCTACCCCGGACCCTGCCTACTGTTAAGTAGGCAAGTCTGTGCTTCTGCTCCCCCCTGCCACCCCCCCACTGGCCACATACTGGTTCCTAACTGCTGCTGCAGTGCCTGGCTGCTGCTTCCTTCCTCCTGTTCCTCCCTTAGATGCTATACCTCCGCCTTGGCCTGAGCAGTTCCATGCCCTGGGAGACGCAGAAACATTGATGCCAGAACCATGTTCCCAAAATTACATGGGCATAGTTATATGGCAAGTTTTCTTGCTCAGTGTGGTTCCCAGAATCTGAGTGCCTGGGGAAATGGACCATTTTGGGAAGGAGCACTCTTTCCCGATGAAAAGTTTTGGCGGCAGAGGTGCGTCTTCTGTCTACTGTCAGTAGAATTGTAGACTTAGGGCTGAAGGGAATCTAAAAATCCCAGCCCAGGCTTCTCATTTTACACATTAGGAAACTGAGTCTTAGATTCATTATGCAGCTTGGCCAGGGGGACACCAGCAGTGCCTTGATGTCTGGGTGGGAGCCTTCACCCACCCCTTCCCAGCTTCCTCAGCAAAACCAAGCAGAGTGTCATGATTTATAGTGGCAAACTTCACGTTTTTTATGCCCAGAATAGATGTTTGACTTTGTGGTTTATTTAGCAGCTCAGTTTCTTTTTCTTTTTTTGTTGCCTTTGATTATTTCATTCCCTTTTAACTCTCAGGGAGCTCTGGTAGCACAGTGGTTAAGAGCGCAGGCTGTTAACCAAAAGGTCAGCAGTTCAAATCCACCAGCTGCTTGTTGGAAACCCTATGGGGCAGTTCTGCTCTGTCCTATAGGTTTGCTATGAGCTGGAATTGACTCGATGGCAGTGGGGTTAACTCTCATAAGATGGGTGAGACAAGAGAAAGGAGGTGAATATAATTTTCAGATACTAACTTTTGCATATCACATCTTAAGTTTTGAACATTCAAACCTATCCATCTTTCTGGGTCAGCTGCATACGGATAGTGGGGCTTTTTCTCTTTGCTCTGTGATGTTTTCTCAGAAAAACTGTATTGCGTCCTGTAAACATTACTTGTTTAGTTTGCAGTATAACATATGCACATCATTTCCTATGTGATGATATATGCAGCCTAATAGTTGAGCGAAAATTTAAATAAATAGTACAATGCCTCAGTTGGGATCTAAAATAGTTTTTCATCCCTGTGGTTTTCTGTTCTTGGAGTCAAGGCCTTTCTTCCCACCCAGAGAGTTGAGTTTGCCTCATATGGGAATTGAGTGAAGTATTTGCACATGGAAATATGAAACATCACCTGACTGAAAATATTTTGAGATATCCCATGGAGTCATTTTTAATTCATTCAGTGGACAATAATTATGAATCATAGCCCAGCTTTTCAACTGTTACACATTTTGGGATGTGACTCTTTGAAGGGTACAGTGATGGATAGGGCAAGGGATGGCTCATTTCCTAGGAAGTACAATAGTAGACTCTGGTTTCTTTTAACTAAGCTCACCACATTTCATGAGGGAGAAAATTAGGGGAAGAGAGACAAAAATCTCATGGACAAGCTGCTTTCTAAATCTTTTTGCTTTGCTCATTGTAGAGCTGTGGTTGCTGGCATCCCCTGCACAAGCCGTAAGGATGACTAACAAGATGACTTAGGGTCCCATTTGAAGAAGTCTTCTAGGTCAGATTTAGTTGACTTTTCTTCTTGAAGCCTCTGTGTTCCTATCAGCAGCTCTCTTAAGCTCTATCCCCTGCCCACCCAACCCCCATCATTTGACACTTATACACTCATACTGTATATCTGTCTTGCTCTCAGCTAAGCTAATCCTGACCAAGTTCCTTGAGGACCAAGATGATCCTAGGACATCATTGTTGGCCAGACCAGAAATACTTAGTGAAGAGAACCTACGATGTGGTCCTTCTGTGTCTGCCAGTTTGAATCTGGGGTCCAGGGCTGGTTGTGTGTGTGGGCCTATGTCTGTGAACTTGAAGAAACTGAAATTGAAGGCAGTGTTTTATGTGTATTTATGTTTTGGGAGTGAGGTTCTGATGAAAGCTTTGGCTTCTCAAACAGACTGTGAACAAAAATCATTATACCATTGTTCTTGGGTGTTGCTGTCCCACCTTACATCTTAGCAGCCCCTGGAGGATGGGGATAAGGTATATTTGATGTAGGGGTAACAGCTACTGCCTCCTGTCCTACTCCCACCCTGCTGTAGAGTCTGCTTCAGGGTTTAGAGCTGGTATATCTCTGAGAATCCAGCTTCATTGTTGAGGGTGGCTGGGTTGTCCCCAGGTACCTCTGAAAGTCATGCAGAGTAGCACGAGCCAATCGTGGAAAGCCCACTGACAGAAGCAGGGTGGAATTTTGGCCTTGGTGCCGGTACTTTCCTGCATTTGATGCGTTGTTTACCCATTCCTATAATCGCCAAGTGGTAGAGAAAAGCTGGGCTTAGTGGTCTTTGCTTTTCCTGCGCCTGTGTGAGAAGATGCGTTGGTGTCACCCTGGTTGGTGCTGCCTCACTAATGCTGCCTGGGCCGTTAGTCTTCTAGGACAGGCCAGGTTAAGTCTCAACTGCAGGATTCAAGTCCAGAGAGCTGAACAAAGTCATACTCAGTTTAACTTTTTGGCAACTAAGGGGAATTTGGTGCAAAGGCTATAATGTTGTATTATTGTGTGCCATTGAGTCGATTCCAATTCATAGTGACCTTATAGGACAGAGTAGAACTGCCCCATGGGGTTTCCTAAGCTGTAATCTTTCTGGGAGCAGATCACCAAGTATTTTCACCTGTGGAGTGACTGCTGGATTCGAACTGCCGACCTTTCAGTTAGCAGCCCAGTGCGTAACCATTGTGCCACCAGGGGTCCTATAATGGTATGATTAAAATTCTGTCTTGCTAGCTTAGCATATACCTTCAAGTTGATTTTCTTTTTGTTTTTTCCCATACAAAAATCTATACATACATTGTTATGTGACTCTGATTGCTCTCCCCATACTGTGACAGCACACTCCTCCTTTCTACCCCTGATTTCCCATGTCCATTCAACCAGCTCCTAACCCTCTCTGCCTTCCCATCTCACCTCCGGACAGAAGCTGCCCATTTAATCTCTTGTATCTACTTGAGCTAAAAGGCACACTCCTCACGAGTATCACTTTTATGTCCCACAGTCCAGTCCAGTCCCTGTCTGAAGAGTTGGCCTTGGAAATTGTTTAATTTCTGGGCTGATAGAGAATCCAGGGGCCATGCTTTCTGGAGTTCCTCCAGTCTCAGTCAGACCATTAAGTCTGGTCTTCTTACTAGAATTTGAGTTCTGCTCCCCATCAAGTTGATTTTCTTCATATTATGTGTTTACTTGAACCAGAAATTGAAAATGGACTTCATAGAAATGTCTTCTGCTTCACTATATGTTTTTAGCTTATAGTTCTTGGGAAAAGTATTAATTTTGTCCATATGTAGTGAGCATTGTATTAATAAGTTTTCAAATATGTATACCAGTCGTCTGTCAGTTTGTCGTA